GAAAAACCAGAAATAACACCTGTCCTCAAAGAGGAAAAACCAAAAGAAGCAGTACCTGTTCTTGCAGAAGAAAAACCAGAAATAACACCTGTATATAAAGAGGAAAAACCTGAAGAAAGATTTCCTGTTCCTGAAGTAGAAAAACCAGAAATTACACTTATTGCTAAAGAGGAAAAACCTGAAGAAAGAGATCGTTTTCCTGCAGAAGAAAAACCAGAAATAACACCTGTATCTAAAGAGGAAAAACCTGAGGCAAGAGTTCCTGTTACTAAAATAGAAAAACAAGAAATAACACCTGTTCCTAAAGAGGAAGAACTCGAAGAAAGAGTTCCTGTTCCTGAAGTAGAAAAACCAGAAATTACACTTATTGCTAAAGAGGAAAAACCTGAAGAAAGAGATCGTTTTCCTGCAGAAGAAAAACCAGAAATAACACCTATTCCTAAAGAGGAAGAACTTGAAGAAACAGTTCCTGTTCCTGAAGTAGAAAAACCAGAAATAACACCTGTACTCAAAGAGGAAAAACCTAAAGAAGCAGTTCCTGTTCTTGCAGAAAAAAACCAGAAATAACACCTATTCCTAAAGAGGAAGAACTTGAAGAAAGAGTTCCTGTTCCTGAAGTAGAAAAACCAGAAATAACACCTGTCCCCAAAGAGGAAAAACCTAAAGAAACTGTTCCTGTTCTTGCAGAAGAAAAACCAGAAATAACACCTGTATCTAAAGCGGAAAAACTTGAAGAAAGAGTTCCTGCTCTTGAAGTAGAAAAAAAAGAAATAACACCTGTATCTAAAGAGGAAAAACTTGAAGCAAGAATTCCTGTTACTAAAATAGAAAAACCAGAAATAACATCCGTCCCTAAAGATGAAAAACTTGAAGAAAGAATTCCTGTTACTAAAGAAGAAAAACCGCTAATAATTCCTACTCCTGAAGAGAAGGAAAAACCAGAAATAACACCTATTCCTAAAGAGGAAGAACTTGAGGAAAGAGTTCCTGTTCCTGAAGTAGAAAAACCAGAAATAACACCTGTACTCAAAGAGAAAGAACTTGAGGAAAGAGTTCCTGTTCCTCAAGTAGAAAAACCAGAAATAACACCTGTCCTCAAAGAGGAAAAACCTAAAGAAGCAGTTCCTGTTCTTGTAGAAGAAAAACCAGAAATAAAACCTGTATCTAAAGAAGAAAAACCTGAGGCAAGAGTTCATGTTACTGAAATAAAAAAACAAGAAATAACACCCGTCCATAAAGAAGAAAAACTTAAAGAAAGAGTTCCTATTACTAAAGAAGAAAAACTGCTAATAATTCCTACTCTAATAAAAGCTGAACATAAACAGAAAAACCATAACTCAAATTTTAACTCGCTATAGCTTCAGTTCCTTT